CCCGCCCTTCTCACATGCGCTGATAGCGGCACTGTAGCTGATGACATCTGGCTGAACCTTTGCCTTGTGCATGGCATCGAACAACTTCAATGCTTGCTGCCATTCCCCGCCCTTCTCACATGCGCTGATGGTGGAGTTGTAGCTGATGACATTAGGCTGAAGCTTTGCCTTGTGCATGGCATGGAACAACTTCAATGCTTGTTGTGGCATGTTGGACCTGGCACATGCTGTAATTCCCCGTGTGTAATGAGATGTCTTCAGCTTGATGCTGTCATCTTTAAGGACTGCCCGCAAAGTAGCAGCAGCCAAATCGCCACGTTTCTGCTCACTGAAGAACTTCAATGCTTTCGGAAGCTTCTCTTCTGAACGTTTTAGCTCTGGCAACAGAACACTTTCGACCTCACTTTCCTTCAGCTTCCCCAGTTTCCATATTGATTCATCTGTGCTCTTTTCCTGAAATGATGGCGATCGGCGTTTCAGGACATTCACCGCTCCGCGTCTCATTTCACGGTAAGACTGACGTGGGTCGACGATGGTCGACGTGGGTCTTCGAGCCTGACTGAGAGACAACTACGACGGCCACAAGGTGTTGTTCCAGGTTCGACTCACAAGATATACAGTTCTTTCAGAAAAAACAACGGTGGTGAACATGTGGATTCGTACTTGGGCATGCACATTTCTGTTTGCTTTGGCTTCTGGTGGTGAAGAAGGCGAATGGGAACTTCTGAGTCGGCTCTTCAACGATGAACACCGGTCAGATTGATTACATAGATCACAGATCCCCCGTTCAGCAAATGCTCCACACATTCTGACAACCATCCAGGATGTTTGACCCATCTTCACTCAAAACTTCCCCATTCAAGAGATGAACTGCTCTTTATGAGTCCTGGTTGACTGACCTGCATCCTCCAATTCTCGTAATTCTCTATGAGGATCGCCGGTACTGGGACCCTCCGTACTCTGGTTGGTTCTATTTAACTTGGGTCGTAGTATAGCCCTCCGACCCTGAATTCCACTGGATAATGAAAGCTACAAAGGGGGGCACCGGTTTTCTTTGCCAGGCAAACTCACAATTCACCTTTTATAAAAGTCTTTGCAAGCAGCTCATGAGGAGACTAAATACCACTGACATTGACGAAACCAACACTGTCCAGGCTTCCAATGTATCCAATGAATACGGTATATCTTGTTGAACGTCGGTGTTCGATGTGTCTAATCAACTCCGTGCAATAAGTAAATACATGTGGCAGTAATCAACCTATGTTTCTACTTATTGCGGAAACTTTCGGCTCCCAAGATGTGCCTTATTCATTCACTATTGTTTCAGCTGAGCTGGGTGGGGGACATAGCTAGAGACATGTCATTGAACACTTTCAACTGAGCTCCTGTGTTCATGTCTTCGTTGAGGACGGCTGTGTTGCTGTCCTGGGTCACTACAGTACTGTGGTGATAACCCGGAGGCCAATGAGACTCATGAGCACAGTCAGGGCACTGCTCAGCAGCAGTGTACACATTATCACCAAGAGCGGTCATCGTCTTGCCGGTCAGTCCAGTCTTATCAAGACTCTGGCCCACAATCGGTGGCATCTTCTTTTTGTGGGTCAAATCCAGACGTTTTGCAGCACCCAGCCAACCTCCAAGGCAGCCAAACGTGCAGCTGCCTAGCAGCAAACCGCACTAGTGCCAATCAAATTCCGCTTCACTTGCTTCAACAAACATTGGACATCTTCTCTGGAGGAAGGTCGTACAAAGCTATACAAAGCTGATGAGCAAACCTAGAGACGAGGATCGTCCTCCACCAGTTTGCGTTCAGCCAGCCTCTTTTAATCCTGGTTTGGCTTGTCTCTTTCCCTCAATCGGTTGTCAAAACCTTCCAGTGGAAAGAACCAAGAAACTTCATCAACTTCATCCATCACTTCGGTGCCCAAATCTCCTGCTTGCGGCAACGTCCAGCGGCAGACCACACCTACGCGAAAAACAGCGAGCAAGCTCAAAGGACAATTAAAGCAATACGGATCTGGATCAAAATCTCTGACTTGGACGCTATAACACAGAAGAGGCCGGCACCCCAATTGTCAACTGCAGAAGTGGGGATGCAAGATGTTCACACTCACATTGATGTGAAACCTTACGCACCACAGAACAAAATTGCTGTTGATCTCAAGAAGGAAGCAGTTGTGAATATGGTTTGACAACTACCTTACATGCCTTAAAAAGACAAAACCGTATTTTGTGAGGACATAATTAGTGTACTGGTATGTGCTGAATGAAATGAACTTGCAACTTCACCATGTCACTTCCGATCATTTGCACACTTCTAAAAAGGCAATAATGACATGAATCAGGATCAAACACAAAACATGATAACTGAGAAAACCACACCTCGACAAATCTGGCTGGGAGCATCTTGTGACGTTCCATTCACACAAAGAATCCCTTTTCTGGGTTTGACAGTCTCTTTGGGGTACTGAGAGGCTTCTTCGAACCACTTTACCAGGTGGCACCTTACCATAAAACCCCACAGGTGTTGATCCACGTCCAATCCTTGGAGCATCCTGAGAACCGTGCATCCAAATGTCTCTGCCGCAGTTGTCTCCAAGCTGCCTGGGCAGAAGGGCTCCCCCCTCCAATACCAAAGCGTCGACTTGCTGTGGAGAAGCATCGATGATACACAACTCTGTTGGGCTTGTTCTGTCCGAAAGATGGGTGACGAATTGATTGAAAGAAGGAAGAAACTAAAACTAAACCAGTCTGTCTCTTCTGGAGATCAGAGCCCAACAAAATTCATCAAACATCCAACACTTCACCGGACGAAGTAGCCAGTTCCACCTCCATGTCACTGGGTTGATGCTGCCGAAGGATGGTGTAGCGATTCCTAGCACCGTGGATGAGTTGGAGCAGTTCTCTGGCTGCCTATCTGTGGTGGTTCTTATATAATTAATGGTGAACAAACTAAACCTTCTCAAGAGCATTTGCCTCTACAATAAGAGGCCATGTTCCATGCGTGAATGATTACTTAAGAATACTTAGAAGTTATTGTCTAAGTCTTTGTGACAAGATCACTCGGAATTATATATATATATGTATTTGCCGGTATGCAAAACGGACTGAGTTGATCCCTGCGAAAGACAAATAAGTAAGTAAAAAGAGGGAGGACGGTCATCACCTCCCGTTCAGAACCTTCTTGTGTTCACTCCTTCAGCTCAAAAAGAATTAGTTTTTTGCGTGTTTCTCAGAGGAAGAGGCACCGGGAAAGCTGGATTTGTTTTGGAATGTCGCCACTCAAAACACTGGCGACGACGTTGGGGTCGTTGAGAATCACCAATGCTTTGTTGGCCTTCCTGTTTTGGAATGCAACATTTGGCTTATTGCGTTTAAACTGGGGGTTGACACGGGTTGACCAAAGAGGCTCCCAAAATGAAGCTTTGGGACCATCAAACAATTCAAGTTCTTGCAAGTGCAGGACATATTTGCCAAACCATTGAGCAGGAGAGTCCGAAAACCCGCCGTAATGTGCTAAACCCTTCTGTTTTTTCCTCAAGGAAGCAGTGTTTTTGGCCTCGGCAAGGTTCCGCCCTTCATTCCACAAAACAGGAAACAAAACAGCATTCCCTCACATTCACTATAGTAGTCCCCCAAGTAGATAGAAACGGTTTCCGATACTGTACATTGTTAGTGGGGATTTACTCTTGGGATCTATATGGGTGTTGATCAAAATAAAGGTATCTATATCGGCTCCCATATATATATATAATTATATATATGTGTATATGCATTTGTGAAGATTGGTGCAATGAACCTGGATGGCCTGACCCGGACCCGATCGCCATCTGCTTAGGCGCACGTGCGGCCCTGGAACACAGCAGCGCGTGCTTGGGTTAGGGACCGCCAAGCCGAAAGCCTAGGGCAAAAACCGCGACCATTGGAGTGATCAAAGGGGTCTGAGGTCTTGCACATCGCAAAAGCAGCTCCTTTATGTTATCGAGTCGAAGGCGGGGAGCACATAAAAGGACTTGTCGTCCGGTTGAACACACGATCTTGAGAGGTCCATCCATTACGCTGTTTGGAACGGTTCTCAAACAGCGCCCCTTTTGCGAGCAGAAATCATGTACTGTAACATAATACCGCTTACAGGTCGTTGAAGAGTGTCCGTGACACTGCTAGGTCAAGTAGTCCGAAACTCTGGACCAGTGACCAGAACTCCCGATCTGAGAGGGTACAAAAGGTCTCGGGTCACAAATCTCTCAAATCACCTGGAACCGGTCGGGATCTAGTGCAAACTTTTTTACATTGTCTGCACCTAATGTACATTGTAGGTCACGCAAACCTGTGTCTACCACATGTTCTATCATGCGAGCCTACAAGCAGTTGATGGGTCAGATCCATTGAAATTCAATAATGTCCATGACCATGATGATGTGTGGATGTCCGGTCGCGTCTTGACTGCGTTGACATGGCCTGGAGCTACAGAAAAGGATGCAAAGACTCTTGGGCAAAGGAGGGATCCACCACCAAACCTGGATGTTTTTGTGACTGGTTTTTGTAAGGTCATGAACTTCTGTAGGCTTCCGTAAGATTGAGGATATCCTTGATGCATTCGTCAAACTCCAAAAAGGACATCAAATCAAAAGTCCCACTTTCGCTCCCAGACTCCACCCACGTCGCTCCGGTCAATTCTTAAAATTAAAACCGCATGCCGAAACGAAGGAAAGCCACCTCCCATTGTCGGAAGTATACCCAGATGGGGTTCGAACGAAGGATGTGTTCTGGACCCGGGGATTCTTCTGCAATTCACGGACTTCTGTGGCTCAAAAGTGGATGTTTTCTCCTGGAAATACACCTGGACATGAACTGAAGGCTTGGCATGTTCGATCGATTGGCTCCTTTAGAGAGCAGAAAGTTAGAGACCAAACTCAACAAAGTGACCCTAAAGACAAGGGCGAAATATCTCGGGTTCCAAAAGGACCATTAAACTCAATGAAGTCAGGCTCACAAAAAGACGTGCCCCCAAAACACGTCCATAAACTGGAAGGACATGCACAACAAGCCTTCATTGTTGACCTTTGCACATTCAACAGCTGGCCGTTAATTTTGCTTTGAAACGTTGCCTCAAAACATCTCAGAGTACTTTCCCTTGAAGGGATTTCAATGCTGCCCAGTGGCCCTTCTTCTAAGCCACCTAAGGCCCGAAAATGTGGAGTGCTCAGTGCCTGCAGGAGCAGCCATGTATTTTTCAAGCAATATGGGTCCAGAGATGGTCCAGAGATATTTAGGGGTTAGGGGGGGGAGATTGCGACATGATCTGCTAATAATTCCTGATATTTAATTTTCTTTCTTAAATAAATCAGCACGCCAGTGGCTCTGAATGAGAGGATACTAGAACGACTCTGATGGCAGTTGTCCAAAAGAAACTTGAACAATCTCCTTTTCGATGCCTCGAGCTCTTGAGGAATTTCACTCTCCACGGCGCCACGGCTTTGTCAAGGAATCAACCATCCGTTTGCATATTTCTGTTGCCTCCCCCATTCCGCGCCTGGCCGATCCAATAGCTGGCCTTGTCTGGTTTCCAAATCATCTCTC